ATAAACTTTGTCGTCTCCTAATATTGCAAAGGTGCCTGTTTTAGAGATAATGTACCCTTAGCCTATGACAAACAGCTGCACCATCTCAGGCATTTTTAAAAAGTGCCTTTAAGCATGCTAAGCAGCACCAAAGAGATCAGAAACACAAAACTATGCTTCCTACTCATGCTGGAATCCAAAAGGTTGAAGTATTTCAGAAGCATGGCAGTAGAGAATCCAGTGTTACCACAGGGCACATTAGAGCTCAGAAACCAAGCGCACATGACAACAGCCCACAGAATCACCAATGTGAATTAGTGAGTGTGTGCGGTTTGTGTGTGGTTTGTGTGTGTGTGTGTGTGTGTGTGTGTGTGCATGAAAACAAGAGACAGATGGCTGGCAAGTGACTTTCCCTTTAGCATTTCTACATGCTTATCCAGTCTTGTATTTGGGTCATCTGCTACAATAAACACAAAGTGACAGGATCGATGGAGGCAAAACAAAGCAATCCACACTGACTTCGCTTAGTAATTTTAATTTTCCAGTAAGAGAAACACGTGGTCAAAAGAGCAAAATGAACCCCTTGCAAAGATATATGTTTAAACAACTCACACTTAGGGGAATAAAGCACATATAAAATAATTCCTAAATTGTTTCCAACTCCATTTTTTCACTGTGTTATAAATTGGAAAGAAAAATAAATGGTAAAACACCACTCTGGTACACTTTGCCTTCTTTTAGTAATGACCTGATAAGCTTTGATACAAGGCAAATTCCTCTATTTAACTTCTTAGCAAGTCTTTCTAAATATGCATCTACTAAATACCAGCCGTACCATCAGTGGTTAAAATCACTGGAATTTTAAGATACCACTTCCAGATTAGTCCAAGGCAAAAGTATTGGACAGAAGCTTTTAGATTAAATTAGCAGAATGATTGATCATCTCACAGGGATTCCTATCCTATAAGGTCCAAAACCCAAACTACCAATAACATGAAAAGACCAAGTTACAAGCAGTAGTTCAGTATTCTTAAGGGGAAAAAAAAGTAGATTCTTAAAGAATTATTAATATCTCTTAAGTCTTGCATTCCTTCTTTAAAATAAAACCAGTTAAAGTCATTATAGAGAAAATGTTAACTAGTGTTTCTATGAAAACAAAGATTTACATTCACATTCAAATGAAAAACTAAATCAGAAATGTACTATGAAGAGTTTTAGACGTCTCATTTTTTTGTAATGCAGACTGAACCCAGGAATTTTACACTAAGCCACTCACCAGTCCTATTTATTCTTTTTATTATTTTGAGACAGTCTTGTTAAATTTCCCAGGCTGAGTTAAAACTTGCGGACTTCCTGCCTCAGCCTCCCAGAGAGCTGAGATCATGCGCCAGATACTTTTCCACTACAGTAAAAATTTCTGCTATGAAATTGTTTCCAAAGCTCCACACAATTACTGTGCAATACAATAGCTAAGAAGCCTCAAGAAAGTACTAGCGATCAAGGCTAGGTTTACTAAATCCAAAAAATATCTTGAAGTATCTCCTATGAATACATTTTCTTTTATTCATGAATTATTCTGCACACATGTGAATTTTAAATGTTTAGAAATCACATTACCTTATTTGTCTGTATGTCATAAAAGGGTATGTCATTAATCAGTTAGATACTATGAGCAAAACGAAATCAGACTTCAAAACATTTGTGATTTACTTTTGTTTTCTTTAAAGTACAATGACTCTTCTCTGTGTTATCTCCATGAGAAACTTACAGTATTATTAAAAAACAAGAAGGCAAAAATGAAGCTCTGTCTTCCTCAACAAATATAAGAAAGCAGACTTTTGGGTCAGCAAGCTTTTTTCCACTGACCTACACACCAAATTTCTCTAAAAAATAAGAGCAATAAAAGCAAATACTTCAAAGAGTAACACACAACATGACATAAAACTTGGCAAAGGCTGCATATTTAAAATTCCAGGGTTCCCCTAAGTGTAAGATTCAACACAGTCATTACACTATATTGAAGGCAAAGGAAGAAAGAAAAAAGTGCACTTTATCGTGTCTGATACTGTGAATTCCACTGTTTGTTTCAACACATCATACACATCTTAAGTTGAGCACAGAAACACTTGTAAAATATTAAATTTGACCATAGGGAAATTGATTTTGCTTTAAGAAAGTTTCAGGTTACCTCTTAATTTCAACCAAGCTACAACATTGAAAGTAATTATATATAGTCTATAAAGTCAACCTGATCACTATATTTAAAAGAAATGATAACTTTGAGAAGTACCACAGCAATAATGTTTAAGCTAACACAGGATGAGGCCCTCCTAAAGTCAATGCCAGATTCTTCAGGCTCAAATGCAGAATCTTGATTTAATTAGGCAAGTCAGGCCCCAGAGCTACCTCTCTCCTTGAGCACTGCTCTCATCACTGGCAGCACTGGCCTTTCCTTCCAGAACTGAATTTCTCAAAAGTTCCTGCAGAATCCACTGATGCAATTTAAGTAATGTTTTAAACGTGAATCTTTGTGGTCTGAAGTAGAGTCCTGGGAATAAACAGTTACCATCATCCTGCAGTTCCCACTTGGCTCCCTAATTCTCTTCCCCATTCATACAGCAGAGAGGGGTACAGTACTTGGATAGAAACTATGAAAGTCACAATTTACAGTACACCTTGGCACTGAATCATTTTAACATGCTGTGCAAAACAACCAATGAGCTGAGTACTCCATTAATATGTCATAATTCCTAATATATATAAAAATGAAGTTTGCTGCCCTAAACATTTCACATATTTAAGTGCATGTGTTTGCACAGGCAGTTCTGCTAAGAAATCAGAGTAAAATACACTTTACAATTATAGTAAGGTATGATTCTTATTTTAGCCTTCAAAATTGTATCAGCAATGAAGTCTGTATGTCACATGCTATGGAGCATATGATATAGGAAAATCATTTCACTAAATTCATCTTTGAAGCTCAAAAATAAAAGTCAGGAATTTTAACACTCAATTTGACCTACAGCATGGGAAGAACTTGTAACAACTGGGAATCATCAAAGCACAACTCATTTATCCTCACACTCTCGCCATTCTCCCAAAGTTCCTAACATTTCTGTTCCATGGCTTAAGAGCACTGCGTAAGCTTTACAACTAAAGGAAAACTTAATTTAATTTTAGACTTAATTTTCAAACAATACTTTCTCCTGACATGACCTCTTTTAGTAACTGGATAGGAACTAAGGATAGGAATAGGAATGAAAATAAGAATGCCTGATTTATCATAGTCTTCTAAAATTGTGACAATGATACAATTTTTTAAATTAACTTTATATTCTAGGTTTAAATGTTTACTTCTTAAAGTACCCCAGCAGAGCCAGCAACTGCACCTTTTCTTTCCTCCCTCTTCCTTCCCTCCTCCCTCCCTCCCTCAGCTCATTTGAGTTAAAAGCCACCCATCTTTGGAAACAAAGGCTTTTTCCATCAATGTCCTAGAAATAACAGATGCACCATCACACAGAATTAGAAGAGAAGCAGCTTGGCTCACCTCACTCTTACATTTCTCAGAGCATGTAGTGTAATTGCTAAAATCAGTGCACTGTTTAAAAGTTGAGGAGAAAGTTTATGCCTCCCACTGCCTTCCTATCAACTAAGCTATGACAGACACTAAATAAAATGCATTAAGAAGGGTTTGGGGGCTATTTTTACACCTATTATCAGGTGATTTCATAACAGACATGGAGGTGTGAACCAAGATGTGCTGATTTAAGACTTATGTCCATAAGCACACTTTTAGCAGAAGAGTGGGCACACACCAGAGAATTCAGGACATGGCTAATTAGCACCAGGAGAAGAGTCTGCTTCTCCTCCCCTATCAACCACTCTGCTTAAGTTCATTTACTGCCTCGCCCTAACCCTGGGGACCCATTCACTTTCCATAGCCCAGAGAGGCTGTTGAAAAGCTGTCAAAGTAAATCTGTGCTCACTTTTTGGATGGTTTAATTTCAATGGAGCATGAAACACCCCAGAACGGTTAATAAGTTTAGCCAGGCATGCTGTTCTCCCTAATATATTTTAATTATGCATCTGTTTTAATTGTAATCAGATTAAGTCACCGGAAAGGCACAAATTGGAATTTTCCCTAATGGCTATTGGAGCTTTTCATCAGTTTCTAAACACTAACAACGTTTAAAAAATAGGTAGAGACACCAGCACGACTGTGACATTTTCCAGGGATCAATGCAGTTTCTTTGACAACAGAGTTCGAGTCTCATTAGCCACCCAAACTAACCCAAATACACAAGACAACTTCGGTCTCTAAGGGCGTCTTCTCCTCCAATTAGCACAAGAGAATCTGTAATGCCTAATGCAAAACTCCCAAACAGAAATGAAAGTCAGAGCGTTTATAAAGTGCAGCCCCATCAATTGGTGAGGGAGGCTGCTGGAGGTGACGAAGAGGTGGAGCACCGCTACCCGGGCTCAAAGTGAAGTACCCTACACGTCAAAAAGGAAAGTTTAAACAGAGAAGGATCTCTCTTTTCACTTTTTTGGCAACTGTCAAAACTTGCGCTTGAACTTGGGGAAATAAAAGTGTCCTATCAATGAAAGGAAACGGTACAGGGAAGATCTATTAGGGGGCGGGGTGCGGCTTCCTTCCAGCCCAGACGCAAAATCGTTTAGTGTGCTTTGTAGTGCCAAGGAATACCTAAAACTGTTCATCTTTTTTTTGTAAGAAAAATACGTTCATTAAACAGTTTTCCCTAAATTGCCAGGATATCCGCTAAGAAACTTAAGCGACTGCCAACAGGCGAGAAGCAAGCGGCAGAACCTGCTGCAAACTCGCAGCGGAGCGGAAACTCCCTCGGCCCGCCCCGCGCTCGCGTCCCGGGCGTCCGCCTGAGGTGTCCGTGTCCGCGCGTCGCTAACCCTCGGGTTCTGAATCAGCCTCTCCGAGGTGCACTTCCAGCCTTAGAGCGGGAAGCTCGCCGCGGGGTTCCCAGGCACAGCCATCGCCCCCTTACCTGTCATCGTAGCAGAAATCTGCACTCAGGGTGTTGAGATACAAGGCGAGCCCCAGAGCGCTGCTCACCAACTCTGCAATCATCTCTCCACCGCCTTCCCTCCGGCTCGGCTCCCAGCGCGAGGGCAGCAGCGGCAACAAAAAACAGAAGCATCAATCCCCACCTTCCGCCGCCTTCTCCTCCCAGCTTCACTTTTCCCTCGCTTCCCCACCCTCCCGCCTCGCCCTCCCTCGGGTCCTTCCCATCCGCCGCTCCTCTCCTCCGCCTCCTCCTGCGCCCGTCTCCGAGCTCCCGCGTCCTCTCGGCTGCGGGCTCAAGCCGCGCTCCCCATGCCGGGCGCCCGTGAGTGGCGAGCGTCGATCGGGCTCCGCGCCCCCCGGCGGGTGCACAGCGCTGGTTCTCCGCGCGGCTCGGCCCCCACCCTAACCCATGGCAGTGAGGGGCGCCCTAGGTGAGGAGTGGGACTCGGAGGAGGTGCAAGAGTGCTGCATGCGGGCCGAGGGACCGGACCGAGCCGGGCTCTGGGACCAGCTGGAGGAAGGGAGAGACAGAGGGCGGGTGGGAGGGACGAGGCGAACCGCCTCCCTTCGCCGCCTCCCGGGCGCACTGGTCCGGGGTGGCTCGGACCGACTCCAGCCGCTGGGGCGGCTGCAGCACATTCACTGTTTATTAGCTCCCTCCCGACCCCAGCCCATGCTCGGGTGAAGTGAAAAGCTGTGGCTGGGGACTCCAGGAGCTCCCGCGTGGGGCTCTCGATGCGGCCCCCCGCGCCTGCGTGGCCAACCCTCCATCGCGGCTTCGCCCGGCCCCTTTCTCCACCCAGCGCCTCCCCGAGGGCTCCGCCCACCCGGCCCGCCGGCTGAGGACTCGGCCGCCCACCCGCTGGAGCTGGAGGCTCCTCCTACCCGCCTCCCGCCTTCCTCCGGTCTCTTTCACCTTCGATTTCTGTCTGGAAAGCCCCGGGGACAAGGACGCGCGCGGCTGGATGCCAGCCCGGAAGAGCAGCCCGCGCGCCCGGGGAGGGGGCGCTGTCGCCGAGCGGCGGCCCGAGGAGGTGGTCGCTCGCTCAGCTGCTGCCTGGCGGAGCCGAGCTCAGGCTGAGTGTCAGGCCCAGCGCTGTGTGCGCCAGGCGCTGCCGGCCGTGTGTCTGGCCGGCTGGAGAGGCTGCCTTCTGGTGACCCGGAGCGCACAGGTTTGGCGCACGCTGCAGCCTCGGTTGCCACAGACGCGCCCGCGGTTCCTCGATGCGGGAGCCGAGCCGGAGAGGACAGCCGTGTTGGAGAGCTTGGGAGGCATCTCTGGAGCGTGATTGTGGCTCTTTACCTACCCTAGTGTCGACCCCAGTGTCAGTGTAAAGACGTGTGAGAAGAGAAATGTGCTCTCAGTAAGGTCAAAAAGAAAGGAGCCAAAGGGGAAATACACGCATGCACACACACGCACGCACCCCGCCTTTGGGGGTCTCAGGGCTGTCAGGCTGAACTGGGCGAGATACGCGGCAAGCGCGACCCGCTGCAGCGCTGTCCTTAATGCTGGTCAGTGGGAGCCAATACCCTTTCCTTTCCGCCCGGATGCAGGACTGGATGGAAGGCATCCAACATGATGAAATATGGGACAGAAGAATGGCCTCGATAGGACGAGTTCTGGGTACTAAACTTGCAGGACCAAAGAGGACCTCCAGCGTGTGCCACACCTCCTGGTTTGTCCCCTCAGGCTGGGCTAGTGGCGCGCCTGGACCACGATGAACACTACTGCAGCGCCCCCTGCTGCATGGCAGCCACAGGGCATGGGAAAGCAAGTCTGTGCTGAAGGACTGGACCCCAGGAAAGCACTGCCCCTAACCCACAAGCTCTCCCAAGAAATTGTGGGAGCAATTGTGCTCCCCGTATCCTTGGCAGTGAACTAAAACGTTTGGGAGCCTGCAAAATAAAACTTCCTCTTCTCCTGACTTTACAAGGAAATCTGTGAAGTCTGAACACGACACAGTGATATTTATTATCCACAAAAGGCAAATTGTATGCCTAGAGAAAAACAAAAACATACGTAGAAAGGAATTACGTCATTAAAGGCTGTGGTTGATTCAGCTCATTGTTTAAAATTTTTAAAAATCATATCAGTTGCTCTATGAAGGTCCTCTATGTCTGCTGGACTTAATATTTTAGCATGATTCGAGGAGTCAGCACGGTGCTGGAAAGTATAATAGAAGTGTCAGCCATTATTATTGTAGTCTCCAACTTCCTCTTTTACCAGATTACTAAATTTAGGCACTTAACTCCAAAATATATCCCACTCTGTCTACACTCCTCCAATCCTAATCCAAGCTACTCTCATCTCCTACATGGACTGGTTTAAGTAGCCTTCAAAATGGCCTTATCTTCTGCAGTCCCTCCTTCCCCCATTCTTAACTTCGGACATTAAAAGATTTTGAAAACTATAAACTCTCCACTTAAAATGTTCGAAGACTCTCCTTTGCACACTGAATAAAGAATCTATTCTTACTTACCATGGTTCCTTTGATCCTGACTACCTCTTCCTTTCACATTAGGTGCACAGATATACATCCTTTCCCTCAGGAACCTTCCACCCTTCCTGCATGAAATGCATTTCCCCCAGAATTTCCCTGGCACCTTCTCATCTTAGGTCTTAGCTTGAATGCTACTGCTTCAGTCTTCCCTAGCTCACGCTCTATACAGTAGCCACACACACTCATGCACACAATCTCATCAATCTACTCCACCACCCTGCATCATTTTCTTCATAGTATACATTAGAATCAAAAATTGCTACTTGAATGGAAACTTCCTGAGGGTGGAGACCTTATCAGTCTCATGTACCACCTAATACCTATGTCATCTGGGCATGCAGAACAACAACTTTCTTAAAAAGTTGACAATACATGAGTAAATAATGCAGTTAGGAAAATTATATACCTGAAAGTCTGCAGATGCCCATCATGAGAAAAACATTACCATCCACTTTATAGATAGTGAAGAGTAGAAGTAGGTTAGCAATTCTTAAGTGTGTGTCACCTCAGGAACACCAGGGTGGGGAAGCCACACATGAGCAACTCTCTTCAATAATTAAGGAGATTCAGAGGCATAAAAACACGAAAGAGCTTTGGGTTCAATGTGCTAAAAGCTTGGAAGCTTTTTCCAAAGCCATCTCGAAGCTCCAGCCATTTTAAATATTTATTTGTTGCTTCCTCGGTCTTTTCTCCTCCTGCACCCTCCAACTGCTCTGAATAGGCAATTTAGATCATTACTGTGACATATGCCATAAAGTGATACATCCCGCCATCCCTGGTAAATGAAAGGCTGAATATCTAACTTTGCTTGAGAAATCCAGTTGCCTTTAACAAATTTTCTATTATAATTTAACATGGGCCTCAATATCCTTCCAGTGCATTAAGCCACAGCCTCTTTCACGTTGCTCTCCAAGGGCTGAGAAACAGCCAATTCCTGCATTTTCTACCTTCCTTGAACAACCACGGAGGGAAAATTGAATTAAAGATGTCATCACCATCCTTGGATATCATTTAAAATCTGGGGACATAGTATTTTACTTTATTAAGGTGTTCTTACCAATGTGACTTGCTGTTTCGGTTCTGAATTTATATGTGTCCTATATAAAGCTACCGTTGCTTTCCACAGATGAAGGAAATTAGACTGGTTGGCTTGCGTTTTCTACTGTAGACACAAGACTGGCCAAAAAAGTGCTAAGCCCTTATTTTCCCAAGTAGGTTCCACACATGTGCTACCTTACCACTTCCTCAATGAATTCCTTTTTATAGTCGCCCAGACCTACACTGCATTTGTTCTGCATTCCCAGTCCTTTGTTGTATAATTCATACCTTAGCGGTGCCAGTCCCTCAGGGTAGAGATTTCCTTATTTGCCTAAGACATTTTTAGTTTATTGTGCAATACCATCTTCCCTTTGGGTGTTGCATAAATATTAACTAAAAAATCCACATCTGGTATTGGTCGTCATTTCTATTTGTCCTAATATAACTTCTCTTTGAACAACTCACTTGGAAAGCGAGCCAAGGGTGAAATGTGGCACATAAATTCTCTTGTGCTGCACTGAATCCTTTTCAAAATGCCCGCAGATTTGGCTATTTATGAACAGAAGATTTGCACCTCTTCCTTACTCTCTCAATTCTAAAACTGTAGAAGGCCAAAGTAATTACAGTCTCCCATATGTTTTCTGAAAAGGTATCCAGGAATCTCCTTCTAAAATCTTAACAGATTGACTAGGTAGCAGAAAAACACTAGCCCAGCAGGTGAAACTGCCTCTTTGGGGAGGTCAGAGCAGAGCTCTCTGCTGTGGGATTCATAAGCTCTGGGCTTTGCTCAGGAAATAACCCTGCAGGAGAAAAACAGCAAAGCATGGATGAAAAGTGGGTCAGGGAGCCAGCCGAAAGAGGCGTATGGACTGCTTGGCTAACTAATGACGGCAAATGTATTGGCTGCACATGTCACATTTAGATGCTTCCCAGCATACCATAAAGTGCTGCCCTGCAGACACTATAGCGTATAACACTGCTTTATCTCAAGGCTTATGATCCATTAGAAATATAATTAGGACAATACAGCCACAGAAACAGGTCCTGTCACCTCTGTCACAAAACTGGGGCTGTTAAAAACCAGTTACTGCCAAAATAATGATCACTTTAAGAAACTCTGTTTCCACAGCTTCTGATTTAGAGGTTGGGGTGGGGAGAAAAGGAGGAGTAGGAGGAGTGTAGGAATGACACATTACTACCCAGACATGGATAATTGCAGAGATGCTCAGGCTAATGATAGAATTCAGAAACTCAATCAAGAAAAGCACGGACCTCCTCCTCCTTCACAGAATCTCTCTGAATGCATTCACATGCACTGGTATAAACAGTGATCAAAAATATTCTAATGGCTGAAAAAATCGCACAGACTCGTGGATAACAGTTTTAATAAGCCTTAGATTTTGTAACATAAAAAAAGGAGTAGAAGAAAAATTAGCTGTGATGTAAATGTCAGTTTAAAATCATCACTTATTCAAACAACCAGTTATTCATGAATTTTGCCTGATACTCAGCTCAACACAGACCTTTGAAGCCAGCTTTTCCCACAGAACTTTCTGCAGTGGATATTTTGTACCTGATGTCCTAGGTAGTAGCCAGTACCTACATGTGAGTACTGAGAGTTGAATTCCGTGCT